TCTATTTGACTGATTGTGTTGGTGCTCCACTTCTGATTTATCAGAATTGGAAGCCCTTGTACTCACTAACTTGCACTTTCTCATTCTCATCCCCGAACTGACGACAACATCAGCTGAAACCGAAACCTCGGAGACGGTTTACCGGCAAAATCCACCAAATGAAGAGTTTGCATCATATAGTGTAAAGATCTGCCCCAAACCCGTACTCAGCGGCTGATCTTGGACAACATTGACAACTCGCCGACCCGGTCTTCCACTTCAGCGAAAGACTAAGATAAGGAGAAATGGATCAAAGGAACTCTTTTACTCGGAAACTTCCCCTCTTGGAAAGACAACTACCCTGGGCATCTCTTTCCCGTACTTGTGGGCGCTATCATATGAGGAGAGACGTTATTGACTGAATCTAACACCCGTTCTTCACGCTAAGCAGTAGCTGTCTTTCATTCGTTCCAGGGACTTCACTGCGTTTCACTTCGTTTGTTTGGTCGAGTGACTTCGTTCCTCGTTCTTTGCTAAGAGAGAATCAATTCCACACACCACTGGTAGATCCATATGAGCTCTTGACCGTGTATCTCCTACATTCTTTGATGAGTTCCTTGGTTTGTCATGATAGGACAGGTTCCAGGTCTCTGGTGAAAGGGATCAGGAAAGGCGGTAGCCCACGCTCTACGCTTTAGCTGTGAACTCTCAATCCTTGTTCTTTACGTTTACGCGTATAAGAGTTGAATCATTCCTTTGTTTAAGACGCTATGAGGAGAAGCTATTCCAAGACCAATGGCATCATAATACGCTTTGTTAGGGGAAATCCCACAGGCCTTGGTTTAAGAGTTATAGCCAAACGGCTATGGCATCGGTGCAGGATTTGGTATTGACTGGACCAGCGGCTAAAGAATATGAGCTGCTTTCCCTTGCCACTGCTCCTTAGCAGCCGTTGTTTAAAGAGTTGCTTTCTTTCGATATGACTTGCATTGTTTGACCAACGTGAATGGGCTGCTAGGCGCATATATACGCGTATTCAATACCGAAATACTAGTCTAGTCCTGTCTGGTCAAACGAAAGAGCAAAGTCACTCCAAAGCGTGAATCACTCCTGGCCTGGCAGGAAACCGAAAACAAGGCAAGCGATCCCGTAAGTACCTCCCCAAAGACCTAACTCTCCAACCGCTCGGAACAACAACTCGAACTCGTGCGTTTACTGATTACTTGGACCGTCATGTACTCGTACGCGAGTTTGTGGCCGAATTCAATCCCCTTCATAAAGGTCCGGTTTTTGACCCGTTTACTGTTACGTGATCTGGGTAGTTGTCAGAATCGGTCCTTAACTGACGAAAGATCGGCCTTGAGGTGGACAGAGACATTTCGACGTCTTTTTAGCGGTCTCGGGGGGCGAAGTTACTTACAGATTCCCTTCCTAAACGGGGGCCCTTTCAGAATAAGTTTACTGTTAAAGGATCTGGTTTTGCGGCATGAACTCACGAAAGATCCGCCCGAGGCAATACAATTGGTCCCATTTTCCATTCATCTTATTAGTGAGATCTGAGCACACGGACCTATTATCCATATTTCTTTGCAAGCACGGTCGAAAAAGAGTTGAATCAATTTTATAGGTCAAGCGCCGAGCAGCTCACTTCCAGTCCAGGGCCACTTTGCAAACCTATTTTTTTGACTATAGCTATGACCCATCGATAAAAGGGCTCGTCCGGAGGCGAGGGAACAGGGGAGTAGCGGCTGAAAGGAATGCATTTCTACGTATTATTGACACTGAATAAGTTTCCGATCTTGGTTATGAGCATGGGATTTTGACATCCAGCTTCCAGGTGTGCTACGACCGGACATGGGAACAGGATTCCACGCAATCCATTGAAGTCGGTACCACTTTCCGATGCCAGAACTATTGCCTAGGATCTAGCGATAAAGGCAAAAGGCAAGGGAATTCCGAGTCAGTTGACTGATCCTTTCCCCGGGCGAAGCTAGGGCCGTTGGACTTTCCTGCGGTCTGTGGCCAAGGAACATCTGGGTTTTCATTCAGACAGATTCACCTAAAAGTAGAAAAAAGGGATGAAACACTCGGCTGCAGAAGTCCAAGTTTAGCTGCCCGACAGCAGTCCCTTCTAAATGGAGCAGCAGAAAGTACGAGCTCTTTCTTACTACACCTCTCGAGCAAGTTTACCAAGTTCAGTAAAAGTGGCTTCAGCTGAGGGCGGGAGAATTCCTATATAGTTTCGGCCATCTGGTCCTGGAGCAGCAGGATCCGAACCTACGAACTCCCGGGCTGAAAATCGTCTTGGCTATGCCCCGATCGAGGGATGCGCCTTTTACCCAGGAGGAACCATTACAGGCTCTCGTTTTTATACTTCGAAGTTCGGGCTTATAAGCCAATAAGTTCGTTGCTTGGTTAAAGCGTAGCTTCAAACAAGCGTATTGCAAAGGAGTAAGTGGTCTTCGAAACGGCCTCTCAAACAGGGAATTCAAACTGGTACTGGCCATTTCTCATAGGCACTGGCCATTCTTAGTTCTTGTAGCTATCAGGGATTGGTCAAAGCACCGGCCACTAGCGAGGAGTTAGATCCCTTGCTTTTACAAATGTCTATGACAGACAAGGAAAGAGGATCCCATAGGTCTTGGATTTCCGAGTTATGAGTTCCAGTAGACGAGGAGATCAAGAGAACGACCCGGAGATCACGAGAGATCAGTAGTTAGAGAAACCAGAGATCAAGATCAAGAGTAAGCCAGTCACCAGTGCTATCCAGTCAACCAACTCATAGGAGCAACTAATAGGCGGGACTCATAGTTCCTGGAGTGAGCTATCAGGAATTCCTGGGCGTCAATCCTGGATTGAAAGATCACCGAATATCAACTCACTATGCTGATCAAATATTTGTATCGATTCCCTTCATTCCTTCCATCTTTCCTCGATAGCCTATCATAAAGAGCTCCTTCCCTCCTTTTGTGCTACAGATGAAAATTATGTGGTGAGACTGACTATTTCCTTGGTCTGAACATACCCATACACATTTTATGTTCTCTTTTTACGTAATTTCAGAACCTATGACGCTAAGCTTTCCTCTTCCCTACAACTCAGTCCCGATCTACTTCTTCATTAATCGACCGCGACGAAGGAGGGCCCTCTACTTTCTACTTATTGGATAGGGTTATATTCTATTTATAGAGGGAGAAGAGCTGCAGTGGGTACAAGTTCCCCGGTCAGCTAGTTGATTTCCGAGTGGATTCACTGTAGAGGGAAAGGCGTACGTAATTCCTTCTGTGAAAAGTCTTGTGACTCGCTTTCTTATGCTTATGGAAAAGAGTGTCGAAGTCAAGACAGGTTCATTACCGGTCGAGTTCTTAGTTCCCGGGTTTGATTCTTCTCTACCTCCCTCGTAAGCAGCAGTCATTAAATCAAGAACTGCTAAGCCTTTTCTATCTAATAATGCTATCGGGACTATGGCCCTGCTCCTTTCACTCCTTCGGCACTTACATCAACTCGTCCTTTACATAATATACTTTTCATGACCTACGATAGGTTGATGCTGTCCTTGCCCTACCTCGTTGAAGAAATGCATTAGCAGCAAATCCCTATCGCCTTTGACTTGACCGCTTCTTCATCGAAATCAGTCCTTCGAATAGGCTCTCGTACAATCAAGAGCTAAGGCCGTTAAGGTCGTGGTAAAGACAAGATAGACTTTGAACATCACTTCCTCATAGAAGCTATTTCGTAAAAGAAGTCAATAGAATTGATCAGACATCAGGAATGAAAGATCGGATTTGACCATAACAAGAACTCCTTTCTCAGGCCGAGCTCGTCAGTTCGGTTGATTTGCTTTGATTTAAAGGAACTGAAAGCCGTCTTCTTCATCGAATCCTTCTTCTTTGAAGGAAAGCTTGACTGAACTAAGGCTTTCTATACTATAGTTAAGTTTCACCAGAAAGAGATATTTTATCAAAGTAAGCATCCCTAGGCACAAGCAATAGTACGCTAAGAACTGATCCAAACCTTTGAGTGACCGTTGCCAAGGATAAAATCAGCAAGATCTAGGATTGATTCTCCGGCTGGCTAGATCTCTTTACCCGGTGCGGTGGAGGTTTGAGTTCCTCTTGTAGCAGTCTCCGGTACCCTAATGTCCTACTACCGTGCTATACTGCATTAATAAGAATTAGCAGGTTCGCCTTGTCTGCTCTATCGTCGACGGAAATGCTGTCTTACCATTTTCTACCATCTGACGTAACTTAAAAGCCACTTCATCTCCTCAAGCTCCCCTATGACTACCCTAGCCCTTTTGTCACCAATAAGACCCTCCATGCTCGCTGGCTTTCCCTTCCTATCTTTAGTCATACAGAGAAAGAATGTGTGAGGGAGCATTCTCACGTCATTATTAGAAAGCCCGATCGATATTTAGCCATAAATAACCGCCCTCTAACTGACAAAGGATTTGCCGTCCAGGTCGATAAAGGAGCCTTCATATGGCATGTGGTCGGAAGCTGGTGTAGGTGCTATTTCCACCTCTCGTGAGGAATGGTTTTATAGGGCGTCTTAGCAAAGCAACTAACCCAGGTCCTTACCTTAGGGTGAGGGTAAGTAAGGATAGGGATAGCGGCCAAAGCTGAGCCCGAGCAACCGCTTCGACCATCCCCTGAGTCCGTATCGCTTGGAAGGTTTTTCCACTTTGAGATATGGTGTACGGTATGCGAAGAGTGCTATGTTATTTCTGTTTTCGTCATATTCGTAATCCTATTTCTTGGTTGGTCCTTCGTGCTTTGCTTTAGGCTGGTCGCTTTTTTCCACCAAGAACGGTTTCTAAAACTCTTTGACCCCCTCCAAATGCTCATTCTCTACAGGTGTCCTCCTTTTATCTTAGGATTGGATTTGTCTCCCTCCTCTTTCCGGACAAGCTAAGATAGATGTTCTTTCAGGTCTTCGTTTTAGGAAAAGCTTGATTGGGAATAAATGAATGGAAGAAAGCAAGGAATGAGGGTGAATGTAATGAAGAGACGGAGACATCTCTATATGCGCCTATCAGTGAGCTCATTGCTCTCCAGGGCCTTTCTCGAAAAGCGGAATCGCTCGTATTTGTGCTCTAGCCCCGAAAGAGAGAAATAAGGAGACTGAGATGAGAAAAGAGAGACCTCACGGGTGAAACCTCTGCGCCATAAGCCTTTGTTTCCAAGAATTGGTCCTAACGTCAGCGTCGGATATGGAAAATATACCTTGGCCTTTTCTTCCTTTCTTGAGGACCAAAGCCGATCTTCGAAGTTGAAACCCGAAAGTTCAGTTTCCTTTGCTAGGTAGCTTTTCCGGTGAACCCAAGTCTTTGATCAATACAAGAGTTAGCTAGGACACTTTTCCGAATCATAGAAAGAGTCCCGTATAGCTATGCTCATAAGAAAGAACCTCTGCTAAAGGAATGGGATAAGAAGATGAAGTTTCTCTTATCATTCTATGAAATTGAATAGAAAATCGAAATGTCGATATATCATTAAGGTCAATTACATCGAACCTCATCCTAAACCTTTTTTTGGGGATTTGATAGTCACTCCAGGAGCTAACCTACTGGTACCTGTCTCAGCAGCCCTGGTGTCGATTTTATCCTCCATACTTGTCTTCTGAGGAGGATCATCCTTAGTCCTCCATTCTTGCTTGGCCTTGGTCCTGCACTTCTAGGTGCCCCCATCTAGAGCACTTCTTACTCAATTACACCTTTCCTCGGATTTTAGTCGAGCCAACTTTGTCACCTCCACTCATACTCAATAGGCTGTTTGAAAATCACACCATTAATAGGGTTTTGGAGCTCAACTGAGTCAGGCAATTTATCAAACACCTTTGCTTCAACCAGGGCAAAGGAGATACGCTTTCGTTGCGCAGTCAACCCATCCGTCACCTTAGGAACCCCAATAGTGCTTGCAATCCTGCTCAATGCCGTATTGCTCCAGTACATAAGTGGGAAAGAACTCCACGTTTGAATCCTTCGGTTCATTCTTCCGCGGCTGTGTCAAGCGCCAGAGTACTTGGGCCCATAGGGGATTAGCTTATCGACTCCCCGAACAGTACTATAAGAATCGGTACTGAACATCCCTCCGGCAATTGTACATGCTCCCATAGCAATAACA